TTAGAACATAATGGTATATTAGGTGCGACATAATAAGAAAAAAAACCCATGGTTTCGCAACACTCGTTTTCTTATTATACATAATCATTTTATTTTTTTCACTTTTTTTTTGTATTAAAACGACATGAATATAAAATAATATATGTTCAAAATTTATTAATCTATTATAATATATACGCTTACAAATATAATTGTTGAAATTTAAATTTCTTTTCTCTTTCTTAAATAAAAGTTTGCAATCAATATAAAAATATTATAAATATTGATACTTCAAGTTAGTCTAAAGTTGAGATATTAGGATGTAAATATTACAATAATCAAAGTTGAAATGAGATAATAATTCAATACACAAATAAAAATTCAACAATAATTTTTTACTTTAAAAAACTCGAATATTATTTAACTTCATAAACAAGAATAAAAAAGTCACTTCATTTTTGTAATTTATTTCACTTCATTTTTGTGATTTATTTTTTAAATATACCTAAAAATAATTACATAACATTGTCATTTGGGGAGAACAAAAAGGATTCCTAATAGGGGTTATTTGGGATTGCAGCCCCTTACTCCATAAATAAAATAATTCATTCATCTGTCCTAATAATAACAACAATACTAATAAATTCTACAAACCCAAAATGAAGCCATGGATATCATCCCAACTAGAAGCAGTGTAAAGAATTCCAGATTGGCCCTTCCAAATACGAGGGCTTCTTCCTTCAGCAAATTCCTTCTGTTTCTTAACCAAGCCTGGGAACAGTGGGACAAATGAAACACCATACTGACTCCCCACTCTCCTTAGGCTTGAACACGACCCGACCACAATGCCTATATCTGCTTTCACCAGACACAGTAGATCGCCCACTGAGTCTCCGATGTAAACACTCAAGTTTTTTCTGTCATTGCTACAGTCTTGTAAGATATCATCGAAAGCTTGAATCTTGTCGATAGGGGACTGAACTTTCCAAACAATTTCACCTGTGGATAACGATTCTGCAAAACTGAACTCATTTGCATGTATGTTCAGAGCATCTAAACCCCCTGCTTCAACAAAGTTTCTCTCAGTGTTAATGTTCACGGGGTAAATTCCGACAAACCTATTGAGAGAGAACAAACCTACCTGAAGAAAAAGCTGTCCGGATGAGATCACCACACCAACAATAGGAAATAACATGGACATTGGCATTAAGACTTTTGTTCTGTGTGATTTTTTGAAAGAAGTTAATGCAACCATCTTGAAGAATCATTCTTTCGCCAGCTCGTTTAATGTCTTCAAGGTTTAGACCCTTAAGCACCCCTGACACAATGACCCTAGAATTCGCTCTTTTCTCAAAGTCTGAGAGTTGCTCAAGTGCTTTATGCAAAGTTTCATAGTTGAACTCCACTGTAAAACCGTGGGAAGTAAAAAATCAATTTAAAGGAACTAATTTAAATGTTATCTCGACATCCTTTAGGAGATTATATACATTTAGTTAAATACCTTTCTCAGAAGGCAGAATACTTTCTATGCAGTGTTCATACTCTTCTGTGTATTGTGTAGAAAGTTGACCCCAGGTGTTCCTCGGTTCAGCAGACGACATCCGAATAATTTGACCTGCTGGTTGGTTCTGATCAGATTTTTGGGCCGTTACGATTGCTATCTCTGCCAAAATGGCAGATGAATCAACAACCGTGCAAGTAAGATCAAAATCAGAAAATATCATAAGACGATCTTGTTCGGAAGCATGTTCCTTAGTCAAAGGAGCAATAGTAGGCTGAGTAAGCGGTTGACTATAGAAGAACTCTATTTCAAGTTTCATTGCTTGGTGATAAAGTTTCTCAATGATGTTTAGTTCCTCGCCTGTCAAAGGGACACTAAGTTTATCCAGCAAGTCTTCTGTTTGCAGAGCTGATGCCTAAATTCAAAGAATCAATAGTTGAGCACTTGAGCCATGGGATTGAAGGGCAACTTACCTAAAGATTTTAGATCCGACACTGTAATCAAGTTGACCACTACAAACAACGAGTTCTATCAACACCATACCTGAAAGCTTTCAGAAGAATAATTCTCGATCCACTTCTTGTATGGGTGATCATGCTCACTGGATTCTAGAAGTGCCTGAAACTCCTTGCCCAAAAAGGCATACAGCCTCATACAAGGTGTCATGGCCCCTAGAGTGTAAGCTGCAATTTTTGTTTTCTCAAAGGGAGTGGCAAGTGTTCCTGGAGATTTTAGTCCTTCAACTTTTCCAGAAGCTGTTGCAAGCAAGAATTCCGTATACTTCAAAGTTGCAGAATTGACAGGGCACTCTTTAACACAGTCAGAACCCCATTCCTGCAGAGCTCCAGCATTAATACCAATAAGATACCCTTAACCAGAAAAGAAATAAAGAGACAAATATATGCATAAAGAAAAGAAGCTTTATTGCATTGTAAATAACATAACAAGCCAGATAGTATAGACTTATAATATCAAAATTCAACCCCACTAAATTGAAACTTGTCATCTGTGAAGAGGACTGGATATTTCGTATGAAAGCCATCTATATGATCAGAAAGAAAGAATCAAAGGGGTAGTGAATTAATAATATCCACGCAATGTACAAAAAGCAGGGATTAAATTCTATTGGAGACGATTTCATATGCCAGTATGACCTCAGGTTGATTCATCACTGTACTAAATAGTTGGAGATAATGTTTTATAAATATACAAGCAATGGCAATAGAAGGAAAGATCCAATTTCCTTTTTTCATCTTAACTTTTCCAATAATTGAGCATGCAGTAAGCAACAGAAAAAAGGAATCCTACTTACACACCTGTACAAAAGAATTGTGCATTTTTAGCTCCTCCAACGCACCCTTCCTTAATGCAGAGATAGCTAATTTTGCATCATCGTCATCAGCACAGTCTTCTGACAATTCATATCTACAACCCAGATTGAAGAAAACAATAAATCGACTGAGGACATATGCCTACGTAGAAACAACACAAGGAAATTTTAATTAAAACTAGCTAGGAGAACAAAGATATTCCTTTTAATCTAGCACAACATGCCAATTTAAATTATGGAAACTGACCCGCCTCAAGCAATGTAACTACTTTTCCCCAGATAATAACAATATAACCTAAAAATAGATGCTGAGAAAGTTGGCACAAAGAAAAGAAAATAAGCATCTGAATAATTACTCAAGCAACCAAGCGGAAATTAGAAACTAAAGGTTCATTCATCTTCTTTTCCTAACTTTCTCAGCAACCAAATCTAGGAAGGGTTTGAAGCTAGCTAATATCAATCTTATAACAGAAATTCAAGTCTCAAACATCAGTATAGTTTCATAAAACATGATCATTTCCCTTAAACAGAATATCAGCAAGGATTCAACAATACCAAAGGGTAAAAAGTTTATACCTATTCCTCAAATTTCTTTAAATTTTAATTCAATAAAAGCTAAACAGTGGCAAAAAATCTACATCTGATATTTCAATTCCCTTCCATCTAATCTTAGCATATTCTACAAAACAAACAAGACCCAAACTGAAATTTCCATCTAAAAGACCAAAAGAAAAGGAGAAATGAAAAGGGGACTCACGCACGAGCAAAGGCTTTGAGAAAGTGTGCATCTTGGGCAATATAACGACGAAAAGTATCGATCTTGAGAGATCCAGAAGCCAAACAAAGAGTGAAAGGAGAGTAAAGAGAAAGCATGGATTCTCTGCGAAACTTGAACCATAACCTAGTCGCTAGCCGGTCCTCGGTGGGGATAACGGCAGCGGGGGAGGACTTTTGAGGAATCACCATTGGATTCGTCGTCGAGCAGAATCGGAGGTGGGATCGGACGAGTTGAAAGAGAGTTGTGATCGGAGACGGAGAATAATAAAAGAGGGATCGCATCAAAGAAAAGAGAAGAGTGGCGTTTTAGCAGTAATGACGGAGGAGAGGGGAGTGTGTGCGAAAAGGGATGGAATGTTTTTTTTATCTATACGATTCGTTTTGATGTGGAATAACAAAAGCGTAAACTACAAGAATGATTACTTATAGTTCAGTTTTATTCATGTTCGGTCACCTATTGTAAATAATTTATGTTTTCAAATTGTTATATTTTGATCTTTAAATCATTAATTTTCACAAGTTAAAATAAGAATTGAAATAAATTATTTTTAATATCAACTCTGAATTTTTTTATAAAAAATTGTAAAAGAAATTAAAATTTTCACGATTATTCTCTTTTCTAACTAAAAAAAAGGTATAATATCTAAAAAAAATTAGTTATTTTTTTAGTGAAGATGAGGTTAATGGCCAAAGCTAATTAGGAACCAATCTATGTTAGGGGTAGGGGTGTGAAAATTCGGATATCGGATTGGATCCGATCCTAAAATTCGAATATCTAAAAATTTAATATACCTAAAATAGTGATCTATTCGAAAAAAAAATCAAATATTCGAATCCAAATTTAAAATTTAATTTGATAAAAAATAATTTTAATTTTTAATTTTTGTGATTTAATATAACTTATTCGATACTTCTATTTTATTATATTATATATATATATATACTCACATACAATAAATAATTAAATATCCTAATTTTTATTGAGTTAAAGTTTTAATGGGTTAGTGAGTTACTCATTTATTGGGCTAAATGGTATTTAAAATCTAAAACCCATTTTTCGAATTTTCGGATAATCCGAAATTGAAATTTAACTGATTTGTATCCGATTCTATTATCCAAAAAAATTGGATACCCGATCCAAAATTCTCCGGAAATAAAAAAAATGTACAGGATATCCGAATTTTCGAATTAGATCGATTGGATCGGATCTTTTTTCATATCCCTAGTTACCCCATGACATCACGAGCTAGGAGAGGGCTTAGCAAGGCAAGGGCTTCATCAAAGGTAGTGAGCTGGAAGTTTGGTGCAGTGGGCATTCTCGACATAGCATTCACTGTCTTCTTCTCTTCTCGGGGAATCCATGTGATTTCCACATAACAGCTCCGGTTGCAAAGGCCGAAGCGAATTGGATAAACAAAGCCGGTTAAAAAGGAAGAGTAAATAAGGTAGGCCACGAATTGGGTTCTTTCGGCTATGGACCCACTAGTAATCCCAGCAGCAGCTATAGCGAAAGCCCATTGATAAAGGAAAAAACTATAATCCACTGCAGGTGAAGGGAAAGCTTTAAGACCAAAGAAGTGATGTCCGATGAAACCATTGGATGGTGCACAGAAGGCCAAAGTGAAACCGAAGAGGTAATACGGCACCGGCTGCGGCGTCGAGTACGTTGGTCAACATTATGTTCATGGTGTTCTTAGCACGGACTGAGCCCGCGCAAAGCATGGCGAAGCCGAGTTGCATGGCGAAGAGGAGATAGGCGGAGAAGAGGAGGTACGTGTTGTCGATGGCGTGAGTGGCGTCGGAGAGTTGGTTTGAGATGGTGGAGAAGCGGCCGCAGAGGAAGGCGTAGAGGGCGGTCGCATTGGAGTAGGAGGATGAGGAGAGGAGGGGGATGAGGTCGGAGGCGGAACAAGTGAGGGAATCCATGGCGGATAAAAGATGAGGAAAAGAGAGGATGCAAACGCAAAGGGTTGGCGATAGTGTGATTTTGTAGAGAGAGTTGAAAGGAGTGGTGGAGGGTACGAGACAATGACAAATTGTGTTATTCCTTTTTGTGGCAAACTTGAAAAATGAAAATTCTATACTATAATAATAATAATACACAAACCAATATTGTAGGTTTAATATTTGATTTACAAATTGATTAATTTGGATTAAATTTTGTAAAGTCTCGTTACGAGGACGATTCTTCTAACTCAAGTTACTCTATCCGTAAATATCGGAATTTAAACTTTTAATCTTATTTAACAGATCTAATATTTTATATCATTAAATTAATTGACTGTCGATAATATTGTAGATTTATTTATTATAAAAAAGGATTTGCCTAATAGTAAACCTATCATGGGTTCAAAAGTGTATATTAGCTGACCCTATTCCCATATTTAATAGGGTAAGGGGGAGGTAGGATAGTAGGCTGCCCCTAACGCCAGGTTGAGAGCAGCTTTTGTGGGAGACCTCCAACAATCAGAATTATGAATTGTCCACCGTGAGACTCGATAAAATGAGAATTGAGTGGTCCCAATTTGCAGAGCTACTAGCTAACAATGTGATATATATGATGCTGTCTAATTGTAGTAAAATAAAAGCGTGTAGCCAAACAAATTAACACCAAACCACCGGCCAAGTGGTATGATTTTGTGTCACGAAACCTGGCTGACTCTTCTGCAGTGGATCCTGGACTATTATTGTTATTGGAGTTATATGCAACACATGTCCTCAAAAGTATGGCTCTTATTTTAAATAAGTTTCTAAACTTGTAAAAATGTAAGTTTCTAAACTTTTAAATCTTTAAGTTTCATTCCAAAATTATGATTATCATTCTAAATTAGTCCTCAAATTTTTAAACATTTCAATTTCATCCCTAAACTATGACCTTATTCTAAAGTGGTTCCCAAACTTTTTTAAACATTCCAATTTTATCCCAAACTATATGAATATATTGATTACATCTCTTGTTAATAAAATGATTAGGCCAAGTTATATTGTTATGTTTGAGAAAAAACAAAATTTAGGTTAAACTATAGTTTATTAATTATATACTATTATATTTAGAGCGATTTCTGCTTGATATTCAATCACCTAGTTATGTGTATGTTTTTCCTCCAAATAGATTTAGAGAGTTTTTAATGAGGCACACAACTTAGGCTTAAGTATTATTAATAAATTACTAACCGAGCACACACACACACATGGATGAATTTGAGCATGAAATTTGAAGAATCAAAAGTTTGGGGACCACTTTATAAAGAGGGTCATAGTTTAAGGATGAAATTAGAATATTCAAAAGTTTAAGGACTTAGTTAGAATGAGAGTCATATTTAAAGATGAAATTGGAATATACAAAAGTTTAAGGATCAATTTGAAATAAGGGTTATAATCTGGGGATATATGATGCAATTAACTCTTATTATTATTCATAAGCGTTTAATAGAATTAATATCATCAATTAAAAAATGAATTATTAAGCAAGTCAAATCAAGAATAAAACGCTGAGTAGATTCACCTGCAGCATATTCGGGTTCCCACTCTCTTCATCTCTCACAAAAACTTGCCACAATTAATTGATTTAACCTTTATATATATAAATTCTAATTGTTTCAACTTTTTAATATTTATTAGCATTATTTTCCTGCAGATGCACGAGTTTTTAATTTTATTAATTTGTCTATTAATTAAGAAATTTTTTTATATTTTTAAACAATGAAACTTGAATTCAATTAAATAATAATTATTTATTTAATATTTATTTACGATACTTGATCTAATTATGTAATGTATTTTTTTTAATTTTATATTGATTTAGAATGATTAGATGAGTATAAAATATCAGTTGGTAGAGCACAAGGCTCTTAATCTTGGGGTCGTAGGATCGAGTCTTATGGTGGGCAATTCATAATTTCTGACTGCCGGAGGTCTTCCACGGAAGCTGCTCTCAACCCGGTGTTGGGGGCAGCCTACTACTCTACCTCCCCCTTACCCTATTATATATGAGAATATGATCATCTAATTTTTTTTAGATGAGTATAAAATACTAATTAAAATTTTAAAATATTAATTATTAAGTTAAGGTAATTATAAAATAGTATATTTATAAATATTTTCAATCATTTGACAATTAACGCTCAAACACCCTACTGTAGTCGGTGATGCTCAAACTCGTAACTATTATGAACAATAACGATTTATTTAACTACTAAAATCTAAAATATGTTGTGCAAAAATCTTATTTATTGTTTAATATATTCAAAAAGGAGAAAGAAAATAAAATTTTAAAAACGGACGACCTTGGATAAAAGAAAATTAACTTTTAATTTATGGACTGTTTTTCCATATTAAATTATTAGATTATAAGTTGAAATTGTAGACTTTGCACATAGCATGATTCACTTGATTTGGTCTCGAATTTTCCAAACAAAAATGCCCAGTTGATTAAATTAATAATTAGATACAGATTAAGAATCTCAAAGTTTATTCCAAATACTGATTAAGAAAAACTTCAATCACATGTTCTACTGGAGGAATCTTCATCTGCCCCTGTCACTTGCTTCTTCTTTTTTTAATTTTAGCTGAAAATGATTTTATGATTTTCATTTGATTGCAGTGCGTCAGAATTCGATGGATTTGAAAAATATATGGTCCATTTTGTTATTCTAATTGTTTATAAGATATTATTTATTTAAAAGATTCTTAATTATTTGACGATGAATGTTTAAATATTTTTACAATGTTTTGTTCGAACTTGAGATCTTTATAATGATTTTATAATATTTTGTTTATAAGATATTATTTATTTCAATAGACAATTCTACACGAATATTATTTTCTTATTTAGGTAAATTACCTCTATCAACCCATTGATTCGATTATATTTTTATTAACAACTTGTTATACTTTTGGATGTTACCTTCAGAAGCTACCAGCTCTCTGCCAGTCGATTCCTACGAACAAAATCCTTCATTTATCGAAACATCCAAGGAATTCATATCCTACGGGCAAAATAGTATATATAGCCTTCGAGTCAACTACAATATATAAACAAGACCTCTAACAAGCCCTTTTAATCTACCAAAGAAAAATCAGATCCATTTAACATGTTGACGTACGAGTAGTCATAATTATCTGACACCATCAACTATGATCATTATAAATACCTATCAGGCATGACTAAGAGGGAGAGATCCTCTCTACTTTTCTCTCATTCACTCTCATCTTTTCTCTTATGCTTTCATCTTAAGAAACACTGACCAATGGTCTTTATTTCATTAACTGTGATTCTTTGTCCAAATTAGAGGAGACAACCTGCCAACTACTGACGAGATAAACTTGTTTCCATCAACAAAGTGGAATAGGATCAATCTTTTGACATTGTTGTGTAAAATGAGCTGGTGTTGTACAGGGAAATAAGCCAACGTTGTTAATTTGTTCAATGACGTGATCATATGCCCCTCCTCACCGGTCGTTCATCACTATTAAAAAAATCTCGATGGTCTAAAGAAGCTTGGGTACACCCTATCGGATCTTTGAAATTCAACCTTTAACCTAATCTCTTGGTTTTTGCAATTTGATAAGTGTAATTTAATTGAGTACACGTAGTTGTAAAAATTGATAAGCATTCTGCAAGTAATGATCTAAGATGACGAAATGAAGGTGGGTCCAAAATAATTATCGAGAGAGATACCACAGTTGAAATAATAAGATTCAATTTTGTAACGGTGAGAAAGATATTTATAAAGACATTTTTTATGGAAGCAACCTTTGGAGAATAATTTAATCCAAGTGAACACAAAATCAAAGTTAATTAAGATTATGGCTTCTCGTTGAACTTGCAGTCAGTGTCTCAAAGTCTCAAGCTAAAAACTCATATTTTAAACTTAATAGCTTTATTTTAAAGCATGATTACTGTCATCATGGATGTCATAACCGCAATTCATTAAAACCAAAACAGGTTTGCCTAAAACAATAGCTATGCCTCAGCAGATTTTGACGTTTTTGGTGGTCCTAAAAGCTTCAATTTACGGTGTCGGATGGCCCCTTCGCATTGCTGAAGAATCTAAATTTTATAACCCAGAAACAGACCAGAAGGCCACATTCAATGTTTGATTATTCCAAGCAACCGAAGTTTGAAACTTGCATTATTATTCAATTACATCTCTTTTATCAACAAGTCGCCGCAGCATGTCATTTCTTGCTGTCTACATATAGAAACGGTAAGCAGTTGTGAATCATTTGGTTATGGTTAATTTGCAGGGTCAACTATCGATAATGGTTGCACTTGCAGCCAAGGATGTCGATAGCTGAGATATTTTGTGATTTTTGTTCTCTTCGAGGTAACGATAAATACATCTAAATTGTCTATTGCACATGTAGTTTGTTGACGGGAGAAATAGAGTTGTGATGGTTGATGATGGTTCATCTTTTTGATTTGACAGCAAATTACAAACAGTTATTCAGCTGACCTAAAGGTGAGAATAGATGAGTTAAAGAAGATGATAAATAGTCAAGAGAGAGAGTGACTGTGTGTGATCCTTCTTTCTCAAGCCTTGTATGTTAATTTATATACAAGCCTTTAATGTTGATGTAAAACTTATGGTGATGATGGTTGTTTGAAGGTTAGAGGGATAAATAGATCCTATTGTTAGATAATATATTTAATTAATAGATCATGTGGGTTTGTCAGTGTTTATGTCAATTGAGTAAAGCTTGATGTACAATAGGATTTATTTTTGAGTGATTATAAGATAATATCTATTAAAAATACTCTCAACCATTTGATAATATACACTTATCCACTTTTATAGATATTATGCTCAAATACAAGACCTTAAAGAATAACGACCTTCCCTAATTAATTTAATATTGTGTGTAAATTAATTATAATATAAGAGAGTAAATGCTGGAAAGAGGGTCGTGAGAGCTTCTATTTTCTTGGGCTTTATCATTTCCAATTTGCAGGTAAAATTGACCCAATATCGTAGGAGGGTTAATTATTTAGCTTAATATAACATAAAACAAATTATTTAGGGATCTACAGTATTTATTATAGTGATTTGGAACTCGTCACGTTGATTAGTTTTAATAAAAATATTTTTTGTTCAAAATTTTTATCCCAATGAGATAAATTCTAATAAAAAGATTATATTTTATTGAAACTCGCCACCTCAATGTGACGAGTATGAATAAAAAAAATATTAATTGGGCAAATCACATCAGCGTGACGGGTTTACCTTATACTGTGGTATTTATCGTAGATTTCAAAATAAATTTTGATGTGACTTATTAGGCCAATTAATTTTTCCGTTTGACCTAATGGGCTAAAAAAACCTAGTTCTTGTTCTCGTATAAGTTATGGGCTCTTTCCAAGCAGGTGAAAACAATGATCAGAATTAGAGATAAGTATTAGATTGAAACTAATATAAATTTTTTTGAGTTATTCAAGTTAACTCAAACTGTGGTATTTATCGTATAAGTTGATAGACTTAACTCAAACTTAAAAATTAATTCAATAATTACTTAAAAATTTGAATTTTTAGAACCATATTTTATAACTTAATTTTTTAAAAAAAATCGAATTGAATTGAGTTTATGAATTTAAGAATCAAATCGAATCGAATCAAATTTTTACTAGCTGAATTGAATAAAAATTTAACTTTTTCGAATCAAACTGACTTTTACTCACTCTAACCAGAATCACTGTAAATCATGGAATAGCTTTCAAAGTCAGTTTTCATTTGAATCGGGAAAGATAACCGTGTGGTTTATTTTTTCTTCTTCTTAATGTTAAGAAGGAATCTGGTGGGGTTGAAAGGCCCATTTTCCAACATCTACATTAAATACGATGCCCCACACAATACAACTCAATTGCCTTTATTTTGACTTTGACCTTTCCCCATACTCTTCAATTGGACTAACCCTAAATTTGAGTCCCCAGATCTCTTGAAAAACTAAAAGAACCTTTGAGAAGCAACGAGCTTACTAACAAAACATTTGATATTTGGGTCTAGCTCTACGTACAATAATTAAAAAAAAAATAAGTTTTTAATTTATAATTAAGATACGGTTCATTGATCTAAGGGCAGCGTGGATTATTCCCAGGCCCTCCGTAGTAAAAAAATGTGCCCCATTCATTGCTATTCGAGCTCTTGATATTGTAACAGTTTGTGTTCTCAGCTAGGGTTGATATGTCACGAACCGAAGTCAAACTATTATCCGCGTCGACCACCTCTAGGTTTCGGAAATAGCTCGATTTTCCAAACCCGTCTCCGGGAAACTGACCGGAACCCATCTGAGTCGAGGTGTGCTGGCCCTTGGCCCTTGAGTTCACCACTTCACCGCCCCATTCCACCATGGCTGCATGGTCTGCTAGGTGAGTGAATAGCTCCGCTGGCCAATAACCTATCAATGTGCTGTCGCCAAATCCGATCCACCAATTGCCTAGCTTAGGGTCCTAACATAGTAGAAAAATGAGAATATATTCGTACAAAAAACAATAAAATAATCTCAATCGACTATTTTCACTAATTCAATGACTAAAATAATATAAAAATTTTAGTATAAGTGGATCCTAACCCTATATTTATATATATATGTATGCTTGTATGTATACCTTCCAAATGAGGATGGTAATGTCATATTGATTTGCAGCATATTGAGAAATAGGAGAAATAGAAGCCCCAATGGCAACTCTGCTATTTGTTTGAACGAAGCCTGCGCATAGAAGGTTGTAACATCCAGTTGCTTGATAGGAGTCAGTCTGCAACATTAACAAAGGTGAGAAAATTCTAATTACTATAAAAATGTTTGAGGCATAATTTGGAGGTCTCCTACGGAAGCTGCTCTTAATCTAGTGTTGGGGGCAGCCTACTATCCTACCTCCCCTTTACCCCATTACATATGGGAACAAGGGACAACCATTTTATATAAGAATATTCTAAATTAATTTGAAAGTAATAACTTAGGGGAAATCACCAATCCCATGAGCAAATGAATGTCAAATTTCACCAAATAAATGAAGTTGTCCTTAACTTGTAGACATGATAAAAAAGTTGTTGAGAAGCATTAATCAAGCAATCAACATTTACTCTCAATATAGTTATGAGCATTAGTAAATTGCAAATTAATTTTTTGAGAAAAATAAAATGTACATTCTTTATATATATATATCCTTTTGAAATTCACTTACTCAAAATTTCATCCAGTTTAAATTTTTTAAAATATATTTTAAAAGAACCTTAAATTTTTTTATTTAATTTTGTAGGCAAATTAAGAAAGTTTTATTCAAGGCTCGACAAGCAAATTTTTTTTTTGAAAAATGGGTATTTTGTATTAATCGGATACAAGGTACACCACCTCATGGAACTCATTAAAAAACCTCCTTAAACCTATTGGAGGAAAAAGAGTGAACCATGAGATGAAAAGAATATGACTAACACACATAAACACACATATGACTCCACAAGCAAATTAATCCATGAAACTAAATAAAATAAGTAATTTCCTCAGTAAAATTTAGTAAAAATAATAAAATAAACCTTCACATTGCTGTAAAACATGACAATTTTTTTATTGTAATATATAAAACCATTTACAGTTAAAAATGTTTGGAAGAATGTCATGCAAGCCAAAAGTTAATTTAAAGGTTCCTCAACAATTATGGAACTATTGTTAGTTGGTTTCATTTAATTATTGCAGGCCTGTTTCCCATTTGGTTTTTATTTAACTTTCGCATTGAAACAATACTTCACTAACTATTTCTAAAGTATATTATGTAGAATATAGAATGACATATAATTCAACATGTTTAAGCATTCAATATTTTTAAATTTATGGGTGAATATAAATTTAGATAATTTAAATATTATATAAAAATATATATATATAAAAATATTTTCCAATTTATGGGTGAATATAATAAAATAGGTTTAACAACAAATGCATGCACGTGAATAATTATGTACCATCAAATAAATAAAAATAAACATGAAAAATAAGCGACAAGTTAATATTAAGGTAGAAATATATGGAAAACTCACAGTCCAATAAGTGAACAATCTCGGTCTGCTGTCACCATAAAGCTCTGGACTGACCTGTTAATACAATTTTTCTCTCTCTTTTTGATAATAATTTAATGGAATAGAATAATAATATCTATATTTAAAAAATAAAATACAAAATTAACAATTTATTTAGATAAATTTTCATTTAATTTCAAATAACTTTTAACATCTAATTTAAACTGTTAATCCTTCAATTCTGAATTTGGAGCATGACTTATTTGATTATAAATTAATGCATAAAAATTAATGAAGAATAATAAAAATATGAAAAGTCATTTAAAAATGAAATAATTTAGGATTACGTGCATGCAAGAACGGGAAACGGAATGTGCACCTGCCATCCAGCTTCGATACTGTTGAGATCAGGGCCGTCCAATGATCCAGAAAGAACCCAAATCTGTGATAGACTGAACTCGTTGACCTCTTCAATTGATGGATCCCACACGTTTATAGTTGCCCTAGCCCCATAGAACTCTTGCGTCGTTCCCGTATATGCAATCGCATGCTAAATTAAATAGGCACATGAATTAATCACCATCCAAATCTAATTAATTTTAATCAAACTTCATAAGAAACAAAGTGTTACATTTTTTTTTATTAATTTGGGTAATTACAAGATAATATCTGTTAAAAATAACTCTCAATCATTTGACACTGAACGCTCACACTCCTAGTATTCATGTTGGTCAAACTTGAGATCTCAATAAATAACAATAATTCTTTTATTACTGAGGTAAATATGTTCGTGCAATAAAATTTGACATTGCATTTTTTTATAGAACCAAACAATTTACTTAATTGATATAAAGAAAATTTTTGAGTGATCTTATTGATAAAAGAAAATATTATTCTTTCTAAATAATTTAGGGTCGAAAAGTTTATTTGTAAGAAGAGACGAACAAATTATTTTATATTAATTGACTAACTTATAAAATTTTCGGAAACAAAAATAAAATATCAATAGAAAACATAAAAAATATCTAAAATATATTTATAATATATGTGTCAAGTGTGTGTATTGTATATATCTACTTGATGACTAAATTTTTTTTGGAACAATATTATCTTGATACTAAACTCAACGATGTAAATTGTACCTCATGACCGTTGCCACTAACAATATCAGGCGCATCGGCACGGCGGCGAGCCGGATCAACGAGCCGACGTTGTTTCTTGCCAAAATGAAACAAAGACTTGGCTCTCAAAACATCATGCACCGAGCTCCGTCGTATGGGAACCGTTCCCTTTGGACATCTCGTCCCATTCCTATGCCACGTTTGCCATTGCCTTGAAGCACCCTTTACACTTGCCTCATTCTGTTTCATCCTTTTCACCTTCGGCATCTCCGGCGGAACTCTCTGTTCATTCATGCAATCATCTCGATATTTAAAGACATGCACGGAAGATGAGTAAATTCAAGGAATGCGTGTTTACTTTTGTTCTAATAGATTTACCTGAATCTTGTGACTTTTTAGAAGAGGATGATCCAGAGCTGGTTGTTTTCTTTTATGGACACAATCTATGATATCTCCATCTGGGCTCTGAAAAAAAACCCCCAAGAAACTCCATGAGAAATACATGTAGTGGTTAGAGTGATTGTCCTATGTTCGAGCAGCTGTGTTCATAAGATGTATATGTATTATCAATAGTTAAGAAAGATTATGAACATATACTACTTTTTAATCACCCGAACTATTTAAAATAGAAAGAAATACATATAGGGCAGTGGTTTTTGCTGGTGGGAAAGGAAATAAACATACTTCAATTTTGATGAGAGGAGGCTTGTTAATCTTCTCCAAGTGTTTTTGAATTCTTCCAAGCCTCAAGCTAGTCACTTTCCTATTATAGTTTGAGTAATTCAGGCCGGAAACATGGTGAAATTTCGAGACGAACAAGAAACAAAGAAGAAAAGAAAGATGAAGGAGATGAGGATTCTTGGCTACAATATTACAGTCAGCCATTATCTCCTTCAGTACTGTGCCAAGCAAAGCCAAAAACAAATGGCTAAAAACAAAGAAAGGAAGAAAAGTACATTGATTTTTTTTCTTTTTTGTTTATTTCAGTCTGTCAAAGCTTTAATGGTGAGTGAAGGCAAGGTGGGTGAAAGGGGGTTAATGAGACTGAGAACAATGAACAACTAGGCATTGGCAAAGGCGAAGGCTGCCTTACGCTTTCACCATCAAAAACATGATTGCCTTAGCTGCATTGATTTCATAGATAATGAACCCAAATATTCATATTGTTTAATGGAACCCCAAATTTGTGTGTGTGTGTTTTGGTTAATAAATTTGCAGCAAATGAAAAGAGAAAAAGAAAAGAGGAAGAGAGATGAAGGTTTTAATAAAATCCCAGACCTACTCAACTAAACAGATTCCCCCTTTCCTTTATTGCTGTATTCCTTCAATGTTTTGTATCTGCCACCATGCCCTTTGCCATTAATATAATTTCCATTTCTTTTTCATTTAATTTTTGGCTTATTATAAAAAACATGGTAGTTGAACACTATATTACACTCATATGACTACGAGGATAGATACAGAGATAATAATTTTCAAAATTATATAGTGTGAGTACGGAAAGGGTAGATAAATATAAACAAATTTTAAAATTCGTATTTACTATATTGAACTTGTATCCAATTTTTTGCTTGCATTATCTTCGCTAAAATGCATTAGAAATATAACTGAAACATACATAATAAGACATCTTAATCCAGAAATACTCGAATTCCATCCAAAAATTCAACGGAGGTTAAAATTAACTTTATTTTTTATTCAAAATATTATTTTATTATTTTTTAAAGTTAAATCTCAAAAATAGTCATAGGTACGCATGTGAAGATCAAACATCATCTTTAATACGTCCTCAGAAATCATTCCGATGTACTCAACTAATTCCAGTTGTATCCTATTAATATGGAACTGTTAGATTAAAATCCATAATTATGAGCACATATTTATAATGTATATTGTTATCATAAAATATGACGTAAATTAAGTGTCTGTTAGGCTTGAAATGATTAACCGAAAAACACAAAGAGGGGGTGAATTGGCCTTTAAAAATCTTTGGTGTGGAAGAAATAAAAGATAGAAAATTTGGTACAACGATATATAGTGATTCGACTTCTCAACCAAGCCTACATCTACTACCTTAGCTCAACAATAAGGATTTTCTAACAAAATCACTAATTTGTTCTTACATTTTAAGGATAAGGTGTAACCTTTAAAATTCTCTAGTTTTTCAAGGGCTAAACTAGAACCTTTCCCCTCTTTACAAGGTTTGATTTGGGTAAACAAGAATACCTCTCTAGGTAAGTGTTTACAAGAATTAAGCACACAAAGAAAGAATTAAAAAGATATACAGTAAGCTCAATACACTTATGTACAAGATAAAATAAATGAAATAAAAATGAAAATTATTTTCTCTTGATCTCTATGCTTGGATAAGTGTAGTTACCTTCTTCAAGTATTCTTGGGTTGTTTTTATATGATGGAAACAATCAACCGAAAACCACCAAGAGGGGCTGAATTGGCCTTTAAAAATCTTTGGTGTGGAAGTAATAAAAGATAGAAAATTTGGCACAACTATATATAGTGGATCGACTTCTCAACCAAGTCTACATCTACTACCTTAGCTCCACACAAGGATTTTCTAACAAATTCACTAATTTGTTCTTACCTTTCATGGATAAGGTGTAACCTTTACAATTCTCTAGTTTTTCAAGGGCTAAAATAGAACCTTTCCCCCCTTTACAAGGTTTGATTTGGGTAAATAAGAATACCTCTATAGGTAGGGTATTTACAAGAATTAAGCTCACAAAGAATGAATTAAAAAAGATATACAATAAGCTCAATGCACTTATGTACAAGAGAAAATGAATGAAATAAGAATAAAAACTCTTTTCTCTTGATCTCTACGTTTGGATAAGTGTAGTTACCTTCTTCAAGTGTCATTGGGTTGTTTTTATATGATGGAATGAGATTGTGGCCGTTTCTAACCGTTGGGGATGTTTTGGAGCCGTTGGAAGCCTTTAATCCCCATAATTTTAATATTTGATTTTGAAACCACTAGAAGGGGTTTCAAAACCCTCTTGAAAAATGTAATCATTAGAACATGGGGTTTTGAAACTAGGAAGGGGGTTTAGAAACCAGTCAAGGGGTTTTGAAACTAGGTACAAGGGAGTTTCAAAACCAAGATGAAAATTTTGAAACTTTGAGCATCATGCCTTAGAGTTTTCGATATCATAAAGGGGGTTTCGAAAGCTTACACCAAGAATTCAATATTTTAACTTATTTTGAGATTCTAAACATACTTTAAGGAGTATGTCAAGTAAAAAAATAATTGGAAAACATTTTCAAGTTTTGTGGACTTTGATTATTTTTGAATCATTTGAATAAATTCAGTTAATTCCAAAAGTATTTTACCTGTATTTGTTATATCAAAATATAGGTTCAACTGTAACACCCATACACCGTATATGTCTCAAAATACGAGTTAAAGATGTTACATTAATATTTTGAAACTTTATTTGTGCATAAAGCTTTAAAATTTCGTTGCATTTAAAAACTTTCGTTTATTAATTTAAAACTATTTAATTAAGCGTACATAAACATAAAATAATATTTTGTTAACCATTTGAATCCGATTTTAGGAAGCAATTAGGCAGTCCAATTCTATTTCCTAACATATATAAGACTACCAAAATAATGCTTAATTTAATTATATTTAATTACTCTTAAAATTATATTTAACACATACCATTTAAAATTAATCTATCAGAGTAATTCAAAACATTTATAATATACATGTCACTAATGATTAAAAGATGTCTTATTGAATCTGTAGGTTGGCTTGATTTCCCAAGAAGAGATGCTCTCAGTACTCCTTACTTCACGTCAGTTTCTTTATTCTAACCTACCCATGAAAATCATCACACGCTAAGTAAAACTTAGTGAGGAAGTAACATAGCTAAGATAAAACATAAATATCATAAAGTATTTTAAAACATAAAACTATAATTTAAATGAAAATATTGAAACTTTTAAACCGAGCTTTTCAAGTAATTTTCCTCTTTGAAAACCTGAAAAATCATCATCAAATGATTTTATTAAAAATCATGTAAATCAACATCAGATATAATAATCATTTCATATTATTTTCATTCATACATATTCCAGAACTTTCATTTCATTTCCATATTCTTTTCTTTCATATACTTGTTATAACTTTCACATTTACTTTTCACAGCCCAATGTACATGTAAGAGAATGCAAGGTACGGAGTCATACATAATTTGCGCAATAGGCACTTCACGATGCCAATCATCATCATAAGATGCACTCCAAGTGTAAATCATATCATATACACCATCGTGCTCATTGCGTTGTCCCGATTCTATCAGTGTCCTTCATGTCTCCGTTGTCGCCGACGTGTGAGGGGTGAAGAAGATAAAATTTCTGACGTTTTGAAATCGAACTCTCCTCTTTTTACCGTTGTGAACCGAGCTCGCCCTTAAAATAACTGTAGGAATTTTTAAAATAATGTTTTCAACCCTGTACGACGCCACACGCGCCCCACGCATCGCCGTCTGCGCTTGGGGAAGTCCCACCGCCTGGTGGTTTCTAAATCCTATCCAAACTCGACCCGCTTGCCCGAACCCAACGCGCCTACCCGACCCAACTCTGTCTGACCGTTGACCATTGAACTAAAAAGTCAAATTTTTTGAAATGTCATAATTTATGTTTTTCGACGTCTTGAGTCCGATTTCGAAGTCAGTTTTGCCAAATTCTGACCCAAAAGCCCCGAATCAAACTCTTTAATCAAAAAATGCTTAGTGTTTTTAGCATTTTTGATTATTTTTTCAGGATTTGATTATGGAATAGATTCGAGAATATATTTTTATGAAGATACTTGTGCTTCACCTGACCGAGGGTCAGTTAGATCCGATGTTTCCCGTCCATCAGACCCGCTCGATCCACGTTCTACGAGAGTTACATGTAGGTTTCCGTAAATTATTTAAATACATGTTACTATTATTCATATTAGGATTTCGATATGGATTTTTCGATTCGTATGATCTAGCGTTGTCGTTGATTGTGATCGACAGACTCAGTAGTAGGCTTTCCTATCAGACTACTCAGATAGATACAAGTGTGTTTCCTGTTGGTGTTACATAATTGTTATCAACTATCTGTCTGAACTGTTTTAGATTTATGATAATACTAAATATTTTTAAGACACAATATTTGATTTTATAAACATGGTTTATCTGATATCTGTTTACTTTATATCTCTGTTATGATCTATGGATTATCGTATTTTCGTATCTGATTATGAAAATGAAATATTTTCATGTTTTAATGGATTAAACTATCATTTTCATTCAAATACATACATATTATTTCTGTCATTGGGGGTATTATTGGAGGAAGTATCTCAGGTCTAGTCTATGACTTGTAAGACCTTATCGCTTTCCGCAGGCTCCTCTGCTTTATGCACAGGATAAGACCTTACCGTAGGCTCCTCGACTTTGTGCTTAGGGTAAGTCCTTACTGTAGGCTCATTCGCTTTGTGCACATGATAAGACCTTACCGCATGCTCTTCTGCTTTGTGCACATGGTAAGCCCTTATTGGGTGTACAAGTGGTTGCATGGTTCTAGGGAACCTACACATTCTGGTGATCGGACGGGGGTAGTGTTCATGTTTTTAAAGCATGTTTGATGAACTGATTTTTACTAAGATATTTTATCTGTATGTTTTTATACACCGTAAGGAGTACACTGAGCTTTTTAGCTCATTCTGTAAATTTTAACCTTTTCAAATAATAACAGACTTGGCATCAGGAGGATCGACTACTCCTACTTTTGTACTACTGTATATCTCTATATGCATTTGTTATACTTTGGTGACACGTGTTTTGCTATCGTCTTGATATATTTGTATTACCGGTATTTTGTTCTGTAAATGTTTCATACTT